TACGTAGGGAGATTAGCTCTTACAATTCAGCTTCAAGAGCCAGACACCACAGTTGCCAAGCTCCATGGAGCAATGGGTGTCTGCACTTACAGTAAGAATGGATGAGCTGAAATGTGACACGGGTATCCGGAAGAATAGGTTTTGGTAGTGAAGGTTCTATGTTGAAAAAGTGTAACTCTGGCAAATGAGGAGTGGAAAGACAAATGTGTGGCTAATTTGCTATTTTGTATATTTATCACAAAAGCTGACGGGAATAAAGTTGCTACAGTTGCTTCTCCCATTGTGACTTCTGTGTTTGCATTTAACATCAAGATGATATCACTCTTCAAACACTGCAGAGTGGCACCTGGACTGATAAAGGGTATGAGCAGAGCCCCATCCAGAAAGTCAAGCTGTTTTCCCTAGCATAATCTCCATTCAGACACAGGCGTAGACATCAGAACCTTTTATTTGTTGTCATCACCTTCTGCTGTTTGCAACTTGCTATACAGTATATTGACAGTGGCACACAGCTAGGATTGTGTTACTATACAAGTGGATTTTGCTACCATCCAGATGTGCTAATCGACATATGAGTAGCATACTTTATTTAGTCCTTTGGGTTAAACAATTGCTTTTCATTGCCATTGTATTTTCATCAAAGCATACAGTACATTATTTCTTTCTTTGCACCTGTTAGCTTTGTAGGAAAAACAAAGACCAGTTCATACTGTTACAAATCAATAAATACACCAAATGCACAGGTGCAGTCCTCTGACAGAACTATAATGTGTACATAACTTTGCACATTATTATAATTTATTTACATTTACTTAAAACAAGATGAACACTCACCAGACAAAATATTAGGTCCTCCCACAGAATAATGTGCTGAGCCTTAGTGTGCAACAAGAACAGCCTGAAGGGTTCTGGCATGTGTTGCACAAAGTCCCTCCATTCATTCAGAAACATGGCCTTTAGATGAGGTTGTGATAATGGTAATGATAATGACATGAGGGATTAAACTGCTATTTCCACCTGTTCCACCAGCTTTCTGAACATGATTCTGTTGCTGTGAATCTGTTTCTATCTGTTTTGGCTGGGAAAGGTGATAGAAGGAAGTCTTATCATCCTCAATCCAACCAAAAGTGAAAAAAATGTCTATCATTGTGGCTGATCCTAATAATGTGGCCAGTGTGTGTATGATGGAATTCTGCAAGTAAATGGCCTTTCTGTAGGAGAATCTTAACCACTTCTTTCTCTGGCCCTTTTTTTCCTGAACCACAATGAAGTGTGAATGAAAACAAAACAGTCGTTAAATTGATTGTAATTTGGTCCTGTTCCTGCACCAGCAATATACCGAATGGAGGTGGAAAGCTATTAAGCAGGAGCCTCAGGGATCTGCTCTTGTCTTTACAACAAGAATATTTATACTCTGCCTTAGGTCTACCAACAGCTCAACAGGAGTTACAATTAGAGGTAGGGAATTAAGTTTGGCCAGATATTTCCCATTTTTTAATAAACATGATAGGAAGGTAACAGTTGTACGTTGCTGTTGAATAATGAGGTCAAGCCACCCTGAAGTAGATTTCAAAGATAAGCAGCAACTGTCCACCCTCACTCTTCTGTGAAAACTGGAGAAAGAAAGACAATTAGAATGGGGAAATGGATATCCTGTTAGGACAAGTTGGTTTCTTTACAAACATTAGACAATCCAACACTGTTTAACATGATTATCAACCATTTGAAAATGTCAAGCCATCTCTAAGTCACCTGAAGCAAAGAACTTGAAATTGTATACACACAGTTGCTTCAGCGTAAGCTTCTTGTTACTGTGTAAAAGGCCATTTCATTTTAGGGCTTAGAGACCTAATCGTTCCCCCATTTAGCAAAGCAGATTACATGTACTTACACTACACACTTGTTTGGATTAGTAAGAAAGACCCAAGGAAATATCAGGCTACTTTGTGCTTCAGTGTTGACATATTGAAAGCATTTGTTAAGACAACTAAAAAAACTCTTCCATTGTACTGTACATAAAGACTTTCCATTACATTACTGTAAGTGTAAAGATAAACCAGAAATGGCCTGAGGCTGTTGTTTTTCTGTGTTGGTACCAATTGATGCACAACATGCATGAACATGCAGCTTAGAAGCATTTTTCATTAAACTTCTACCTTGTTTGCACGTAATACAGTTCTGTGAGTAGCTGTCATTCACTCCCAGAGTTTTGGAGTGGTGCAGAGGAACTTTGTATAAGCATGACCGTAATGCTGACAAATTTCCCCTGCTTACCTGAAGCCTGGCCTCCTTGAAGAAGAAGCTGAAAGAGTCCTTGGATCAATTAGCTGTGAGCACCCAAATGAGCTGCAATAGATAAGCCAGATGGCCACTTCAACATCGTAACCTTACTCTTGTTTTGATGCTAGGCTAAGGCAAACTTCAGATGAGATTCTAATTAGATTCTAATTCAGATTATTATCTTCAAGTCCTCCAGAGTAAGTGGAAGCAAGGGACTCTTACAGCTGGCCACCAAAAAAATCACCATGTACAGTACCTAAAGCCCTTCTCCTGAGCCCAGAAGTTTTGTAAACCTGCAAATTGGGTTTTCATTGTCCCTGTTTTGGTGTTTCAAAGTTTCTGTAACCAGGAGAGAAAATTTGTGCAGCTGCAGTCAAAGAGACAAAGGAAATACACTCAAAGGGCTTACTGCCCTGAGCTCAACAAGGTTTACAGCCTGAGAGAAAAAGCTAGCTCAGCAAATGTATTACACCTCAAGAAGGCTCCTTTGAGTAGCCAGAGCATGTGGCAAATGAAACAAAGGGAATTAAAAAGCAGGCTGAGGTTCCAGTCATGTTTTATGATCCTTTCCTCCTGTAAGGGGCCTTAACGACTGTCTTAATGCAGTGCTTCTGCCAGAAACCCGCCTGCTTGACAGCACAAAGGGAAACAGTTACTGCATGTAGTGAGCCATTCCTTTTATTGTCAGATCAATATTTCTTACTGCAGTTTAATAAGAACAGATATTAATGTGACTTCAGGTCAGCACTCATTTGACCCCTTCTCCACGTTTTAAGAAGATAAATTCATTTAAATAAAAGGTGAAATGAAAAAAAGTAAAAACCTGAATGAGAACAGCAGTTTGGACTACAGGTTAACATGTTGCAGACTGACCATAAAAGCTGAGGAACTCCTACTTTTTTCAAGTGTTTTCCTGGAATTGCTACTGCATTCCAATTGTCTGATCACTGTAAAACATTACTAGGTCTTTATCCGATTAGGAAAATGCATTAAAAAAATCAAAGCTGTAAGGAATGTGCTATTATTAGCCCTGCTGACTTCTTACTGTTGTTTGACTTAGTGCACTGTTCACCTTCTTCCGTTCGTTGATAATTGCCCTTGTTGGATCTCACTGCCTAATCATATTTGATTCTTAAAATGCTTTTCAGTTATCTATGCTTGTTAGCCAAGAATTGTTTGGTTCTCAAATGAAATCTGCATAAAATATGCTAATAAAATTAGAAATAAAGAATGGATTGCTGTTGATGCAGTTTGACTTAGGAATCTGCATCCCTAATGACAAGCTGATTAATTTTAGAATGATTGCTCTGCTGCAAATGAATAATTCCTTCAGGATTCGATCATTTAGGGTGGGAAAAAAGACAAGGGAGGGTGAAGTGAAATTGGAAAAGCTAATTAATAGATGGAGATCATGTTTTAATGCCCTTAAACAGAGGCTGCAAAATAACACCTTTTCTGTTTGTTCCCGCTGTGTTCTATTAATAAGACCCCAGACCTCCTCAGCACTGGTTCAGATAATTAACTCAGAGAATACATTCGGGAGAAGGGGGCCTTACCTATTTTTGTCTCCTTGATTTATTGCACGTGGGGAAAGATCTATGCACTCTTGCAAAGTGGAATTACATAAATTATATAATTTCCTTGGTGTATGTCTTTGCAGATAGACAGAGAGGGGGAGAGGGAAAAGAAAAAGTGGTCTTGATGGGGATGAGATTTGACAGAAACTGATTTCTGCATGTTTTTAATTAGGGTTTTTTTTTTTGCTCTGTATCCTAGAATCTGAAGTTGTAGTTTTACTTCCACTGCAGTCCTCCAGTTTGTATCTGGTGCGCTCCCTGTATTACTCTTTGAAGTCATTGTCTCACTATCCTTTGGCTGTTGGTTTTCTTCCTATCTGTCACTTTCCTAATATGCATTTTCATTTTTTCCTGTTTATTTTTTTGTCATGTCCAAGCATCACATTCATTTTATTGGCTTTTTAAGTGTTTTATATTCACATTTTCTGCTTTGTCCCTTATTGAAGAGAGAAAAACCAAAACTAAAAAATACATTAAAAATGTAGCGCATGCCAATAATATCTACGCCTTCTTACTTGTTTTCAATCAGTGATATACAGTATAAGGCCGGAATGTAGCTAGCCACATGAAAAACATTCAAATAATGTACTGTAATTTCAGGGCATAGCACAGTAATATTTACTCCTGGTCCTGGAGGGACAGCAGAATGTCTTGGTAGCTTAATATTGTGAATGAGTAAAGACCTGGAAGCAGTGGTGATAAAGACCAATTAAGTGAACAATCAAGTCACTAAGGATGGAAGGAGGGAGAACCAGAAGACATGGCGGCCCTCCAGGACCAGGAGTGAATTTGTGTGTCATTGAACTATTTCAGTTTTTACCACCACCTCCCTTCTCCCATTATCTAGTTCTTAGAATTGCTCTATCTGGCATTCATGCATAGAGAATTACTTCTCGTGCCTCATTTCCACCCCAGCATGTGTTTTCATTTCTCTCCTTTCCCACTTGGTTGTGTCATGCCCATCATTTCCTCCGGAACATGTAGATAAACATGTGCTTAGTGTTTCCTGGCATTGTCTCTGCCATACCATGCCTCTTGCCTAGATTCCCCTGGGATCAGGAGGTGAGAAATGTAACCTTTGACAAAGAGTCAGAGTTAAGCAAGTGGATTAATCACCTGATACGTCTTTCTTTTCTCTTTCAGAATCATGTGAAAACCTTGGGTTTGGGACCAGCAGCAGCCTTTGAGTAATTTGTGGAACGTTTCTTTCTGTTTCTTTAATTTTTTTGTTTTTGTTGCTTTTGTGTGGGCCTCTCAAGGCATGGAGAACCACTCTTACATGCAAAGGACTTTCCTATGTTTCCCAAAAACCAGGGTGTGGCCCCTGAGGGTCTACTTGCTTGTTTCGTTAATGCTCTCGTCGAAGTGTTGTAGCAGCCAATCCAACTTCATTAGCTTCCATTCAGAAAATAGGGACTGGGCATTCAACCACCTAACAGTGCACCAGAAAACAGGCTCGCTGTATATTGGTGCTGTGAACCGGGTTTACAAGCTCTCGGGCAACCTGACCCTTCTGGTATCCCACAACACGGGGCCAGAAGATGACAACAAGTCCTGCTACCCTCCGTTGATCGTGCAGCCCTGCACCGAGCCTCTGACGCCTACCAACAATGTCAACAAGCTGCTCCTCATCGACTACTCCCAGAACCGACTGCTGGCCTGTGGGAGCCTCTACCAAGGAGTGTGTAAGCTACTGCGCCTGGACGACCTCTTCATCCTGGTGGAGCCCTCGCACAAGAAGGAGCACTACCTCTCCAGTGTGAATGAGACCGGCACCATGTATGGGGTGATCGTACCATCGCAGGGCGAGGACGGCACGCTCTTCATTGGCACAGCCGTAGATGGGAAGCAAGACTACTTCCCCACCATCTCCAGCCGCAAGCTGCCCAAGGATCCTGAGTCATCAGCCATGCTGGACTATGAGCTGCACAGCGACTTTGTGTCTTCCCTCATCAAGATCCCTTCTGATACCTTGGCACTTGTCTCCCACTTTGACATTTACTACGTGTATGGATTCGCCAGTGGCAACTTTGTCTACTTCCTCACTGTCCAACCCGAGACCCCCGAAAACAGCATCTCCTCGGGGGGTTCCTCCAGCGACCTCTTCTACACCTCGCGCATCGTACGCCTCTGCAAGGACGACCACAAGTTCCACTCTTACGTCTCACTTCCTATGGGCTGCGTCCGTAATGGGGTGGAGTACCGCCTCCTGCAGGCTGCCTACCTCTCAAAGCCTGGGGAGGTCTTGGCGGCCTCCCTCAACATCTCCGCACAGGATGATGTGCTTTTTGCCGTCTTCTCCAAGGGGCAAAAGCAGTATCGTCGACCGCCGGATGACTCCGCACTCTGTGTCTTCACTATCATGGACATCAATGCCCGCATCAAAGAGCGCCTTCAGTCCTGCTACCAGGGGGAGGGAAACTTGGAGCTTAACTGGCTGCTGGGCAAGGATGTGCAGTGCACCAAGGCGGTAAGACTGAATGTTCATTTGCCAAAATGGAGTCATGCCGCCAAGTATGCACCCAGATCCAAGTCCTGTCTACGCTACTTAACCAATCTTGAGAATTAGCCTTAGTCTGACTCAGTGCATGCACACTGTAGGTTCAGTTCCTGTTTAGTGGGGAATAAGACATCACCAGCTACACACTTGGGGCTGCAGTGTTCAGGGTTCTGGACTCTGGACTAAAAGATTGAAGGTTCAGATTGCATGGGAAACATAAATATTGTACGTTGAGTAAGTTACGTGACCCAAATTGCTCCAGTAAGAAACAAAATCAGCTGTATCAATAGGTGCAATTTTAAGACACTTTGGATTAAAGTGTCAGCCAAATACATTTGTAGTAATGGGTACATTACATAAAAGTAGTTCCGTTAGAGATACTCACCATGCACTTTTACAAAGATGTAGATGAAGAGCCCATGCCAGGAGAAAACAATGCTTCTTGGCATGAATATGAAAAATAAGCATTTAGTTCTCTTGCAGCATTGTGTATTCCACTTATAAAGAGACTGTGAAAATGCTCTGCTCATTAAGTATCTGAATTAAATGTGCATGCAGGGCTCACTACTGCTTTGTCTCTGACTAGAAGACAGCATACAGTGAGTGGCTGTGGCTTATTTTTAATCGAGCTATTAATGTCCTAGGTTTATCCCAAATTGTGCCTATTTGTGACTTAGAAATGCAATCCAATGCAGCTCTTTTCATGTGTATTTGCAGTTCCTCAGTATTAAACAGTCCAACAATTGTGAGACATGTGAGGTTTACACACAATACAAGCCACTTACAACTGGAAATGAATACAAATTTACTGCATGGTATAGACAGAGCCAGAAATCTGCTTTTCTGTAAATTCAGAATGTACATATACTTTTAATAGCTTTGTAGCATGTTTATTCAATGTTTGTTTTACAATAATCTAATAGGGTAGCATGCTGTTTAGATCTAAAACTGGAATTTAATGTCAATTTCTCATTTTTTAATGCTTATTCTTTCTTTCAACTTTTTCTGTTTTTTTAAATTGAGAATTACAACATCAAGTAATAATATACAGCATGGTTCAGAATAATATGCCATTGAACTGCTACTAGAACTATTCAATTATGAATGACTGCAATAAGAATCAGGGTGGACAAACTCTTAACGCAATTATAAAAGTTACATAGCGAACACTTACTTTGTAGGTTGTCCTCGCACTATAAACAAATATTGCTAATTGGTTTTGCAGTTCTGATGCTATACACACATCAATTCTGATGGAATGAAAAGATATTCACAAATTAGAAGTAGAATTTATTTTGTTTGGCACCAAATGAACTGTTAACATGCTGCAGTGCAATTCAAACAAACAGTACTCTTTTGTGCTGAAGGAGCAGATATAATGTTCTTGCACTAAAGTGCATGGCTCTTTCCATCAGAACATAAAAGCTTTCCTCTTAATAAGGCAAGATTCTGGATCAGCATCTTGTGAGGCACAATTATCTTGTCCTTTTCAAGTCTGTCTTGGGTGACTAAAGTCTTTGTTTATTTCTTTTTTAATTGTACATAGAAATTAAAAGGGAGCCCAAAGTATTGTGCTACCGTATGTACTGGCGTAGGATGTGTATTTGTGTATTTGTTTGTTTGTGTGTGTGTTTGAATGTTTGTGTGTGTTCATGGTTTTAATGATTTAAACAGCAAGATAAAAAAAAAACGGCTTGCCTTTTCTTTGATCCCCCATGGGCTTGTTATTGACCCCTTTTATTAACATCAGTAAATGCACTAATACTGCATTGTTAGAGGTGTTTCTCAGGTTGAGAGAGACGGTATGCAGAACTGACACTATTAGTATCATTAAGACTGACTCTCTATTTGTGGCTCTTATCCTTTAAGGTCATATTGTGGTCTAACATTCACTGGGTTATACAACATCTGCAGTTTGCATGCTGTAAAAATTACTATATCTATGCAACCATAACCAGAGGGATATTTTGTGTCCAGAGATTTTAATACCTCTTATTGTACAGGGTTATTTCCAATAGCATCCCTTCCTTTGTTGTTTTGTCTTCATCACATTTTTTTAATGTTATGTCTGTTCACCGCCTGTAAAGGTTCTGTCTTTTTAGTGCCTGTCAGTGTTCTGCAGCCTGGTCATTAACATTTGACAGATTATTCCATTTGGTTTCTCACAGATTATGGTAAAAGGCTTCATCCCATTCTATCATTTGTGAACAGCCGACAACTACTTTAGTCTCTACTTGCCTTTATTTTAGCAAAATAAGAAGATAATACAGTATGATGTTTGTTTGTTTATTTTGGATGTCATAGTTTGGTGGCTGTACCTGTCAAGGACAGATTTTGTTTTCACTGTGGTAAATTTGCAACCATCAGTAATTCCCACTCATCATATGTCAGTTTACAAAGTTTGATTGTAATCTTTCAAGCTCCCATTATCTCTTCATCCTACACATTATAATCACTCTTGAAACACCTATGATCTTCATAACCTAAAAGTAATTCTGAAATGTAAATATTACCTAAAATAGTTCTGAAATTCTTTGTGCATGAGATAGTGTTTGTTCAGAGTGTATAGCTTCCAGGTTTCTTGCTTATTTTCATTTTTGTTAGTAAGTTTATAAATTTGTTTTCAGAGATAATCACTCCTCCCTAAGAAGCAATATACTAATATTAATTCCCTAGAAACAACAGACACAAGCACTGGTGTATTTACCACCAATGATTTTCATTTCCAGACAGATATAAACACTTTAGAATCAAAAGTTAAGTTCTAGTAATTTCTGCCTTTGCTCATTAAATTCATATGCTAAGAAGCAGAATACAGGGTTTACATTGCTGAACAGACTTGTTCTCCTTATTTTTATGTCAACTATTGCCATTGGTCAGAAGCCCAGTATTCCGAAAAAACATTCCTGTGTAAGTCGGCACATTCCTCAGATGTGAAGAACAGATCTCAAAGTCTAATGCACAGCAGAGAAGGTACAGTCAACAGGATTTGCAGAGGGGTACTGTTTCAAGAAGGTGCTTTGCAGGTCATAGGATTTCTGTCTCCCGATTGGTTCAAGATAAGGTTATGAAATTATTCAAAAGTTCAGGTACTGTAATTTTTTCAGAGCCTGCTTCTATTTATTTATAACTCAGAACCCAGACAGAGACACTAAGCCACCATGCATAAGATCTTGTTATGCTTTGTTTATGGATCTTTTCTGTGCATCGCCATGGAAAGACCTGAACCCTTGACTCTGTTTGTTCTATGTAATCTTATGCAAAGTGGCCTCTGTCACACAGCCATGAGGGTCATGGTAAGGGCCTAGATTTGTTCATAGAGCTCTGTTTTAGTGTGATCAATTATTAGCTCTCTTATATAAATACGATCTAAGTGGTTAGTGTGCCAAAATAGAAGGGAAACAAGAGTAAAAAATGTGTGTGTCACCTTAATACAGAAAAGTAATAATACTGTATTCATATGTCACTAGTATCTCATGTAAATGTTTTTTGAGATGGTAGTTAAACACTTGTGACGCTTGCTTACTAAAAAAAGCTGTTTTACCATATAGATATATAAGTTAGAGCATCTATCCAATAATAGTATAACAGAACATACAGGTCATACAAAAATGTACATATAGCTAATGAAAAAAAATAACATTCTCACTTCACAAAGTGGATCTGAAAATGTGAAAATGTTTTCTGTGTTATTTGATTGTAACTTTGCATTCATTGGTAAATCCAAATTGCCCCAGTATTTGTGTGTGCCAGGCAGTGCATTACAGAAATGTCTGACAGGTCTATCTAAATCAAAGAAAGAACAATTCATACACTAAACATCTCTTGAAAACACATCACTGCTGTGTTTGTTTAAGCAGCAACAGTAAATGTCATCCAGTAGTGGGAGGGCTTCAAAGTGTGAGTATTCTTTGTGCCATTTCTATGGAAAAACTGTGTTTGTGAAGTGTGGGTATGTTTTTCTGAGACCAGCCGTCCTTGTGTCTGGGATTCTCTTTTATAATAGGGAGATACATATGTTTAATTTATTAAGTTATTCCTGTGAATATTCAGACAGAAAAAGAGAAAACTGATGGATTACTCTATTATAATAGGAATTAGCACCGGATCAAGGAAGGCAATAATTTTGAAATTGCTGAGACAGATCAATTTTTACTTCCTAAATAATGAAGTGTTCCATAAATGCACCAGTGCAGAATTCCTTGTAGATAGGAAGCGTAAGTGGCAGTTAAATTCAAGCACCCACTCTAATTCCTTAAGGATATAGCGCACAAGTAATTAAAAAGGACATATCTATTGTCTATGATTTGCTACCAAATGTGTGCAGTGTATACTGCAGTACATATGTTCTCTGGTTCCCTAATATAAATGTAATCAAGGAAATATGATCTGGGTGAGGAAAAATAATCTTTCAGGAGTATATTTTATATTCTGTTTTAGCTATTTTGTTTGTTTAGATCATTTAAATCTTTAGAGAAGAGTTTCAGAGGAGGACAACCAGTCACATTTACCATAGTTGAGAAAATAGTGCCTGGTTTAAAATGCAGAGAAAATCTAACTCTGTACCTGCCTTGATTTGGGGAGTTTGCATTGTGCAGTTGTTGTCTTTATTATTCAAAAGTGCAAATATGAAGCAATATATCATTTCTGTTTACAAAACTGCATGCAAAGCAGTGGATCTTGCTACAGGGAGAGTGTGATGTTACACCAGTACAAGGCAGCCATCCCTTTCCTATTTGGGAATAACATTCTTTACATTAGTAAACACTGCTTAGTAAACACCTATAGTGTTGGGCTTTTTCTTTGTTCTGAAAGAGCTGGAGATGACTGGGGCTGTGGTACAATGGCTAGTGCTCATGATCTGTGCTGAAACCATTGAACACATATCAATACAGTTCTTATCAACTGTGAGTTATTTGAGGTGACTAGCTCGAAAGGATAATGGTTAAATGTTCCCCCAGTGAACAGCCCATGTGCCGCTGCTGGATCGAACAATGTTTCTGTGATCCACGATCTGTCCAAACAGGACTGGCTTGGGATCCCTACTAGATTCATTGCACTATTCTCATGCATATGGCTTTGTGAAGCATTGCTCCCCTGCTATCAACCTGTCTTTGTCCAAATCCATCTCTCTTTGGCTATCTAATTTCAAAAAGTATATACTGTAGCCAACAGGAAATGCTAGTGAGATCATCTCTAGGACTATTGCTGGTGAATTATTATTGTTGAAATATCACAGACGGTGATGCATGGTGATGTGGTGGTTAGTGCTTCTGCCCTACAACTCTTGAGTCCTGGGTTTAAATCCTGTCTGAGGCACCTTTTGTGTGGAGTTTTGTATGTTCTCCCCATGTTTGTGTGGGTTTTTTCCAGGTACTCCAGTTTCTTCCCACCCTTCAGTGATGTGCTTGGTTCACTGGTGTTTCTTAATTGTCCCTGTGTCCTTGTGTGTGTGGAATCCAGGGGTATCCAGCCTCCTGCCTTGTTTCCTGTGTCCAGCTCACTGTAACTCTGCATAGGACAGGACAGAATAAAGCATCTGTGGATACTGAGTGGATGGAAATACTACAGTCAATTTAAAAGCCTCATAAAACCTGTGTCTTTGTCAACCAAACTAACTAAAGATGATCTATATTCATACCTGTGTATTTGTAAAATCTAAATTTAAGTGAAATTCTAATGGAAAAACACTGCATCTTTACTTTTAACGAGCTTTACCTCTGACTTGGTGCTTCGAAAACGAGGCAGACATCCTGCAGCTCATTAAAAACACTGGGCCGTCATCCTTGATCTGAAACATGTCTTGTTGAAAAAATTGGAATAAAGTTGTCAAAAATTAAATTTGGCTTCCAGTCCAACTTGAGGAAATTGGAGCGTTTTTCCTTTCTTCATTCAGAGGCATTTGCTCTTATATTATGTAACCATAACTCTGAATAAATTTCCCTGGGTGTACAAAATAAAAACCTGGTCCTTTTTTAGTTCTGTGTAAACGGAGCCCTATTCATGTCTCTCTCTCCAGCCTGTTCCCATTGACGACACTTTCTGTGGCCTGGACATCAACCAGCCGCTTGGAGGGTCTCGCCTGGTGTCCGGCCTCACGCTCTTCACCGAGAGCCGTGACCGCATGACCTCGGTGGCCTCCTATGTCTACAACGGCTACTGCGTGGCCTTCGTGGGCACCAAGAGTGGACGACTGAAGAAGGTAAGTCTGGAGTGGCACAGTGGCCTGGGCAGCCTGGGATTGATCCTGCTCTGAAGGTAGAGCCTAATGCGCCTGGCTGGCAACAAGGGGCCTGAGCGCAACCTCCCTGAGAATGTCAAGGGTGTTCATCATGAGCCATTTCAGGAGTGCAGTAAGGCACTGTTGTGTCCGGGATAAAGAAAAAACGACAACAATGAAATGGATGTTTTCACAGCCTCACACCTGCATAAATTCCCTTTCCTCGGTATCAGTCTGTTTCTTGGTAAGTTCCATGCAACATTTTACCTTCATTATGCTTTTCTCACAGTACATTGCTAAGACCAGCAGATGTAGTTAATTTATAATCTAATTAATGAATCAGTCATCTTAAGGCATCGCAAGGGAGCTACTGTACAAGACACTAGCTTGACAATATAAATGGCAAATATTTTTTAAAATGTCATTAAATCGTTTTTTAGTGTAATCTTTATTCCAATTTTTTTGTCAAAGTTTAATGTATCTTTGTTGTATTAAGATCTTGTGTAAGCAAATGTGATTCACTGTTGAGGAATCCTACCTCGGACCCTGTGTATTCAGGATTGGTGCCAGGATGAGGAGGAAGTGGGTCTCCTGATAGACTGGTTCACTGGGGTTTTCATCACTGTATTGAGCTCCACAACCAGTGAGATGGCGATGTCTGATGATTGGCTGGTGGAAGGCTGACACTAGAGTGTTTTTTCTGGAGGAGTGGGAGGCTATTGGCTCTATGACGCTAGGCTGGGGTTGATGTATTGGATGTATTAAAATGCTGAGCTGCTAGATCATTTGAGTCGACAGAATAGGTTTAACTCTAGTGTACCTACCAGCGTGTGCTTTACGATCTGGGTTTAGCCAGAGATTACTGTCTTCAAACTTTAATACAGAAAACACAGGCTTCTCTTTTCCCTGCTGTTCAAATCAGAAACCGAGAATCACAAGACAAGCTTTATTAGAAAGCAGAAATCTGAAGAAAGAACAAAACTACATCTTGCTCCAGTGCCTTTTGTGCCTTTTCTGGTGTTTGTTTTGACTTATGCACAAAGAGGATTAGACTCCATTTTTCCACTGAGCTTTGAGAACAATTATTGAGGAGTGACAGCATTAACTTAGTCTGAAGCATTTCAGAAAATCTTCTACATTACCAGTTTGTGAAGGTGTAACAATTAAAATATTCATGTGGGCTCATTATGATCGAAATCCGATGATAATGACTTCAAATTTATGGATCTTACAAGTAAAAAATTAATTTATACTTATCCTAAATTTTTAATGCAAGCCATCCCAGAACATGAGATCCATTCATTGTAGTGGTCGTATTTTAAGGAAGGCTTGACTGTAGCCTCATATAACCTTGATCTGCCCATTAGCTGTAATAGTTGCAGTTTGGAAAAGAGCCAGATCTGAAGAGCTAGATCTCTGGCTGGAATATATAAGTTTTAGCATTAAAGTCAGGGACTGTCGTGAAGGCATGAATTTTGCAAAATGATGACATTTTACATTACCTAGAGATGCATTTATGAAATGTGCCCTGTCAATTTTTTGTGTTTTTGTGTCAAATGCAAAATTTCAATGCAAAATTCAGAATAATTTTATTTTGTCTTGGAGAGTGTACACAGCTGCCAATAGTACATATTTCTGAATAGAAAGTAAGCAATAGGAGAATCATGGTTGTTTTAATTTAATATTTTTTGTTGCAGGCCACGCTATTTTAATCCACACTTCATGTTAACTAGCAGCCAAGGAATAAGTTGCTTTGGAGGCAGGTGTTGTGATGATTAGTTAATTGCATTTATATAGAGCATGCCTTAGCTTATATGAGTGGATTACTACTGAAGTGCAGCACCCACCTGGCTGACATACTGTACAGCAGCCATTATCTACCAACAGTCCAACAACACAGCACTTGTGCAGGAGAAGTGAGAAGGTGCTTAACTAGATGAGTTGAGGGGAAATGTCACCAGCATTAACACCTCTACTCTTATTAACAGTGCCATGCAGTCCTTAAGGACAAAAATCTCATTTTAATGTCTCATCCCAAGATTAGCACCTCCTTTTTGCCACCGTTTCCCATGGGGTTTTGGTTTTTGCAATTCTTGTTTAGACAAAAGAGTGTCTCCTACAGGTTTACTAACATCACTTACACCAGCAGTAACCTGGTTTACCTGGGAGGTCTCCCATCCAGTCCTGACTAGGTGCAGTTTTGCCTAGCTGCTGAGATCTGGTGAGATCAGGCTACACAAGGTGGTAACAGCTGCTGTTGCTTAGATATGCATAATAACCAGACTGTCACAGCTATGTAATGTAGCAGCAAAAGTTTTCTGATGAGCTTGACAAAGATTAATAAAACCAATATTTTTTACTTTCTGAAACCGGTACGGTAAATGTCAGAGGAACCCTTGGCTGAGTGTGCATGACAGAGGATTGAGGAATTTGTCTTACTTCCCCCCTGAGACCCAGGTTTCTGACACACTGGGTTTATTTCAGGAATGAGAGGGCGAGTTCTCCTAACTCTGAGGTGTAAAAAGTCTTTCAAGCACCCTGAATCAACAGCTGCAGCGTTTGTGAAATCTGACAGAGGTCTCCAGGGAAGGTTGTATAAGATGAGCAAATGAATGAGAGAGAAAGGGGAGGTGAGAGATGGAAGCAAGCTGTTTCCATACTACTGACCTGCTGTAGTTTGCCATTTGTTAACCAAACAAATAGCTTTTAAAATCCTGTGCACAGTACAGAAACACGCATACTGTACGTGCACACACTTACACATGGGCCTGGGGCTTGCCTCTCTTTTTTTTCTGAATAAGAAGAGTAATCAGGGGGAAAAAAATAATCCGGACTGCATAATCCTCTTATTTGAATCAGGATTACTTTAATTATTTATACTTCTTTTTTGTTGCTGTTGCTACATGGTTAAATTGAATCCTGCTAAAAAAACAGATAAAGATTAATCCTGGCTCTGCTGTTGTTACATGTTTTATAAAGGCTTCTTTAGGTTTTCAACAGAAGCCTTACAGTACATACTGTGTTTTTTTTCTGTCTGTATTGCCTCACTAATTTTAGCCAGGAAACCTAATGCACTCTTCTACCATCAGTGAAGACACTGACATTCAGTGGTGTTTACATTACATTTTACCTTTGTTTGCAATTTTTATGTGAATAATGTTACAAATCACAGAGATAGGATTGTGATATGTCCCCTTTGGGGCCAATTTCCCATGAAGTTGTTATAGTATTAAATAATATGAACAGTGTTGAGCTTGTGCTTTTGTGACATTTACAGGAGTCACTGTAAGGATATATGGTGATGTCATGTTGACCTTAGAGGCTTCTTCTCCTCGGTTGTGCTGGAGGACAGCAGCTAGCTTCTGTTTCGGCCTCCCCCAGCTGAATGCCATCAATAAACTGCAGCCTGGGCATCCGTGGAGAAAAGCCTGTTTTTTGACAGGACGTGTAAGTGTGTGACAGGGGCCTGCTTTGTAAAGGTTTGATGCGCCTTAGATGACATCGCACGAGGGCAAAGCCCTTAACAGCGCGCTCACTTCCCTTCCCCCAGCCAGCCAAACCGAAGGAGAGAAGGAGCGACTGTTGAGATGTGAATTTAATGCAGCAAGAGAACCCAGGGCTGTGCTGCCTGTAATTGGATTGGCTCAATTCCTGAACTACCCCCACCCCTTCCAACATGCCCCCCCCCCAAAAAAAAAAATTCTTCCTGACAGGGCTGCTCATGCTGTTTCTGTTGTTATTTTATGGACTCTGGCACAGGGTAGAAAGGCAGACTTGTAGTGAGAGGTTTTGCGGTGGGGGGAGAGAATAGCTTATAGGGACAATAGGAAAAAAAGAAACGCAGATGAGGAGAATAACAATAAATTAATTGGTTTGAAAAGAACTGAACAAATGGAGGGTTGGAATTCTCCAATACTATTTGCCTGGCAGACACGGTGTTGTGCTGGGAGGGAGTAATTGCTTTCTCTCCTTATGAGTGTCATTTACTAGAGCGCTTAACCTTTAGGGTGACAGGACTGCACCGTATGGGGAACCTGCTGTCACAGCATTGTATCGGGCTGCATCAGTCAAAGTTCATGAGTTTACAGTGGAAAAAAGGCTCTGGCCTTTCTTGTGGGGTACGGCAGAGTGCAGTGATTGATTGCAAGGACGAATGTGTGAACGTCTCAACAGAAAACCTTCTTTGTAGGAGGCTGTGGGATGCAGCGGACTGAATTGCAAGACTTTGCGTTTTCAAAGTATTTCATTTTTAGTTCTGGTCGAACTGAAATGAGTCAAGATTCTTTTTCCAGTTCTTATGTGTTATAAAATGGCTAATTCCACCATCCCAACTTTTAACTCGGCTGTAGCTGGTTTACTGGGCTCAGCTTTATTCGGGTTGCAGCTGAAAGGGTACCTCTTTATGTGGAATGATGTAGATGTGAAACCAAAGGTGTGTGTAGGGGGCCATCTTCTTCTTTGGTCTTTCGGGACCAAATTCAGTGTGGGACAGTGTGGAGAAGAGAGCTAAACATCTTTACATTAACCTAAGGGATCTTTCCCCTCAAGCACACTGACACATGCCTGTGGACATACTGTACAATGCTGTACAGTATAGCGGCTTTATTAAGGAACGGACTTCAATCACAGAGATTCGGAAGCTATGACAAATAAAAATAGTTCTTTGTTTTAAAAATGGACACAGACAAAATTATGGGGATAAGGACCCTAATAAGTGAAAATCCTACAACCCACTGTTTTCAGTTAAACCTTAGGGATATCTAGTAGCCCAGGGTGCCCAGAATGTAAAGCACAAAGGAGAGTATGGTGTCCATGTATCCACTAGATGAGACAGAGCCAATCCATGTCATACTGTGTATACTAATAAAATAGGTTTAAAATCAGGGTGAAAAGAAACTGTTTTTGAAGTGTGGAGCTGATATACTGTAAGGTGATGGAGGAGCCAGCAGTCAGACGGAGAACAGGGAAACCTGAGATCCCGG